ATACATGTATTCCTAGAAACATACAGTGTTGTAAGGCTGAATCAAGAAGAAACAAAAACATATCAATTCGATTACTAGTAAAGAAATTGAATCAGCAATGAAAAAACCCCTAATACATAAAAGCTCCAGCTGGATCAGTTGGTTTCATAGGTAGATTTTACCAAACATTCAAAGAATTAACACCTCTTCTTATCAAACTATTCCAAAAAAATCGAAGAGGAGAAAAGGCTCCCAAACTCTTTTTATGAGGCCAGCATTACCCTGACACCAGTAACAGAGACATTACAAAGAATGAAAATTATAGGCCAGTATCCGCAATGAACATAAAGGCAAAAGTCTCTAATAAAATATTAGCAAACCAGATTCAGCAATACATTAAAAAGATCATACACCATGATCAAGTTGGATTTATTCCCAGGATGCAAGTTTGGTTTAGTATCTACAAATTAATATGATAAACCACATACACAAAGAATAAAACTTGTATGATCCTATCAGTAGATGAATAAAAGTCATTTGACAAAATCCAATACCTATTTATGAATAAAAGCCCTTTGCAAAGTGGGGATAGAGGGAACATAACACAATAAAGACAATATATAACAAGTCCAGAGCTAACATACTCAATGGTGAAATGCTGAAAGCTTTTTCTTCAAGATCAGGAATAAGACAAGGCTGCCCACTTTCACCACTTTTATTCAAGATAGCATTGGAAGTCCTAGCCATAGCAGTCAGACAAGAAAAAAAAATAAAATGCATCCAATTGGAAAGGAAGAAGTAAAACTCATTATTTGCAGGTGACATACTATAAATAGAGCACCCTAAGATTCCACCAAAAAACTATTAAAACTAATAAGTGAATTAAGTAAATAGCAGGATGTGAAATTAGTATTCAGAAGTCGGTTACATTTTTACATACCAATAATGGACTATCAGAGAAACTAAGAAAACAATCTCATTTACAATTGCATCAAAAAGAACAAAATGCCTAGGAATAAACTTAACCAAGAATATAAAAGACCTGTACTCAGAAAAGTATAAGACACTGAAGAAAGAAATCGAAGATATAAATTAAAGGATATATTGTGTTCATGGATGGAAGAATTAACATGTTAATATGTCCATATTACCCAAAGCAATTAACAGATTGAATGCAATTCCCATCATATTACCAATGGCATTTTTCACAGAACTTGAACAAATAATCCCAAAATTTTGTGAAACCATTACAAAAGGCCCCAAAAGCCAAAGCAATCTTGTGAAAAGAACAAAGTTCGAGGTATGCTACCTGATATCAAACTGTATATGGCTATAGTAATTAAAACAGCATGGCACTGGCATAAAACAAATAGATCAAACAGAATAGAGAGACTAGAAATAACCCATGCCTATATGGTCACTTAATCTATGACAGAGGAGACAAGAACATACAACGATGGGGTAAAGACAGTTTCTTTGATAAATGGTGTTGGGAAAACTGGACAGATACATGCAACAGAATGAAACTATCACTTTCTTACACCATATACAAGAATAAATTCAAAATGAATTAAAGACTTAAAACCTAAAACCATAAAACTCTTGGAAGGAAACATAAGCAGTAAACTTTTTTACATCTCCTCCGGCAAGGAAAACAGGACAAAATATAAACAAATAGGACTATATTGAACTAAAATGTTTTTACACAGCAATGCAAACTCAACAAATTGAAAGGACAGCCTACTGAATGGGAGAAGATAATAATATATTCAGCAAGGGGTTAATATCCAAAATAGAGGAACTCATACTTAACACTCCAAAACCCCCAAATAATTCAGTTAAAAAATGGGCAGAGGACCTAAATAGACATTTCTCCAAAGAGGACATACAGATGGCCAGTAGACGTATGAAAAGATGTTCAGCATCACGAATGCAAATCAAAACCACAATGAGATAATCACCTCACACCTGTCAGAATGGCTATCATCAACAAATTAAAAAACAAGTGTTGGTGAGGATGTGGAGAAAAAACCCTCATGCACTGTTGGTGGGGTTTCGAATTGGTGTAGCCACATGGAAAACAATATGGAGGTTTCCTAAAAAATTAAAAATAAAACTACTATATGACCCAGCAGTCCCTCTTCTGGGTATTTTTCCAAAGAAATCCAAAACACTCATTTGAAAAGATATATGCACCACTATGTTCACTGCAGGGTTATTTTCACTAGCTAAGATGTGGAAGCAACCTAAGTGTCCATTGGTAGATGATGAATGGATAAGAAGAGGTGGTACATATATAACATGGAATATTACTCATCCATAAAAAAGAATGAAATCTCGCTAGTTTTGAAAACATGGATGGACCTAGAGGACTTTATGTGAAATGAAATATGACTTGTCAGTCAGAGAAAGACAAATACCATGTGATTTCACTTATATGTGAATCTGAAAAAACAAACGAACAGCTAAAATAGAAACAAACTCAAAGATACAGAGAACAAATTGATAGTTGCCAAATGGGAGGCCTGTTGGCTTGCTGGATGAAAAAGGTAAAAGAAATAGTACAAATTTCCACTCATAAAAAGTCACAGGGATGTAAAGTACAGCATAAGGAATATAGTCAATAATATTATAATAACTAAGTATAGTGTCAGGAGGGTACTAGACTCATCAGGTTGATCACTTTGTGAGTTATATAAATGTCTAATCACTATGTTGTATACCTGAAACTAATATAATATTGTATTTTCAATGTAACTGAAAAACATTTTTTAAATTAAATATATGACATTGAAGAGTAACAGGGAAAGTCAGCTGAGAGAGAGAGAGAGAGAGAGAGAGAGAGAGAGAGAGAGAGACAGAGAGAGATCAGAGCTATGTAATCCAGTGAGGAGGTGAAACAATGTCTGGTGAGGAACAGTTTTAAAAATTGTGTTACCTGTCTTATCTATATGGATGCGTATGTAAACTTTGAGCAGATTTTTCTCATGGGAGGTTATATAAAGTGACTAGGTAATCATTGTCCTCAGAAATGTTTGATGTGATCATTAACTTAGTTGCTCTTTTCCAGTATTTCTTGGTATGAAGGGAGTATTGGGAAAATATTAAGATATATGAAAAATCCAGACTTTGAGAATAAAACTTTCAATGTTTTAAGAACAAAATATTGATCTCCTCTCACTGCACTCAAATATCAGAAGCTGTGTCACTGTGGGCCAGGATGGTAGCTAAAGGAAAGAAAGGGCCCCCAGATGGAATTCGTCTGAATTGGGGAGTTGGGGGTAGAATGCATACCTGAGTTGTTGGCTTATGTCAGAACTGGCACTTAAGAGTTGGTTTGGTTGGTTCTGGAAAGGACTGTGGTTAAGTTTGCATAGATTCAGGACTCACCACCGTGGCCTGTGTGGACAGTTCTAGGAGACGTCTGAGCATATGATGTGAGCTAAGGGAGCCACAGCCGTGGAGCAGAAGCCCACGTCACCTGTGGCCCGTGCTGGGAATTGGAGCAGCAGTGACATCGGTGCAGAGTAAACAAGCACCCAGTCCTCTCTCAAGTAGCAACGTCAAGAGCAATGAGAAGCTACATCTAACATTTGGAAGGTGCTCTCTTTAAACCAAGTTAGTTTCTGGAATTCCTTAACAATTTGTAAGGGAGATGTATCAGCTAGCTGCCTGCTTTCCTGCATTCATGGACCCTTCCTCAATCTTCAGAGCACATCACTTCAAGCTCTGATCCCATCATCACATCTCCATTTTCTCTGACTCGCCCTGCATCCCTCTTATAAGGACCCAGGTGATGACATTGGGCTCACCCATAAATCCAGGATGATCTCCCCATTTTAAGTTCCTAAATGTGATCCATCTGCAAAGTCCCTTATGTCACAGAAGGCAATCTATTCGCAGGTTCCCAGGATTAGTATGTGGATATCCTTAAAGGGACATTATCTAACCCACCACAGTGTATGTAGTGGCTGGCAGAATATAAGAGAATAACAATAAAAATTTAGTGACCATCAAAACACAAGTACTCCTGTACTTGCCTCGTTTTCTTTTCTCAAAGGAAGGGGCAGCAACTCAGCCTTTTTGTAGTTTCCAGTTTAATTCACTGGTACATTCTAAACAGTAAAACCTTGTTGAAAGAGTAAATGAGTGAAGATTTGTTTGCTTCTATTAGATCTCTTGACTGTTCTGTAGATATTTTCAGGGAGGCCATTCCTCTTGCTAAAGGAAAGTGTAGGGGTTATGTGAGTTATCTATTCTAACGTGCCTGACCTTGTCATAGAAGCTGAGGAATGATACATAAATCAATGGTGGGATTTTTCCCCCTTTTAACATTATTTTCCTTTGATATTCAGAAGCATTGGAGAAGGTATAAGTTCAGCTTGACCAAATAGATATAGAACAGTTGTGCAAATGCAGCCCCCAGTATTTATTGCGTGTCTACATTATACTCAGTGTGCTGAATACCACACTTAGGCAATAAGAGTCCACAAACCTCAAAAGCAAATCTTGTTTCATATTAGCTTGGATGAAAGTTACTTTTAGAGTTACAGATTAGGTTTTCAAAATCTGTATTCCTCTGGCTCTTAATACATCTAAGAAGATCCCTTTACACTTGAGTAGATTAGCTGAAGTGTTGCTGCATTTGTGTTTAGGGAACAGTACTGCATTTGAATTTGGTCCTGTGCATCCTAAGACTTTGAATATTGGGGCGTTCTGGCTTTTGTGGGGTTCATTCTCTTAGTCTGTGTATTATGTCAGTGGGACAGTACCATGCGTCTGTCCACAGATGGGCTGGTTGGTTTGCTCTGCTGGGTTTTGCAGTTTTGGTCTAACCATGGCTTGCACCACCACCAAAGCGAGTTACCTGTGGGGTGGATCGTGATGAGCCTGATTACAAACACGTCTGTTCCTCCAAAAGTGGTGCTTTCACTCTCCAGACTGCAGGTGTAATTATATTCATGTGACGTTTCCTATTTATATACTAATTTGAAATATAATTTTTGTGTTTTTATTCCTAGGTCCATGTACTTTTATTTACACATCGTAAGTCTCCTGATAATACTATTTCTGCCAGTCAGACCACAAGCTCATATTCAAAGGTGGCCTCAGACTCTGAACTCTGTTAAGAAAAAAACAGATTGATACCTCCAAGAAAAGCTGGACACGGAAAACCACAAAACATTGGAAAGATGAGATGAAAAGGCTCGAGGATTCTCCGGTGACTGAGGCAACGTTTACATGCATCTTTTTTTTTTTTTTTTTTTAAGTGCAGGGAGTATTTTTATAATGCCTTTTTATATGATTAAATTGGCCATGTCCAGTCGATTCATTTTATTATTTTATAGGACATTTGAGTGGTGTGGAGGTGTGTGGAGAATGTGCCAGAGCTGCAGAAAAGGTTCATTTTGGGCTGCTGGGTCTTTGCTTTTCTGGCATGGTTTCCAGCCACTGAAATCTGGATGTTGGGACTCCAGAAGTTAGGTGATTGCTGAGAAGCCTTGTCATAGGTTTCTTAAATTAGAACATACCCACATATGGTTTTTCCTTGGGAAGCTTTGAATCCTTTGACTTGTGACATACTGTTTTGAACACAGTAACTGCACTCAGAAGACCATGGAGGAGCAGGGTCATGGAGGATGTTTTTCAGGGTCCTGAAAACCCTATGAGCCAGGAAGACTCACCGTGAACACTTGAATGGACTGAAAGTCAGGCATGCCCTAAAGTAGGCTGCATTTTTTTTTTTTCCAGGGATTTATCTCTTCCCTTTTTTCTTCTGAACTGAGCCAAGATTGGAAATCAGAAAGTCTCCTGTACATGTATACCAGGAGTCTAGGAAGGGCTGCTATTTTCCAGATGTTTTTTCATTTCACATGTGCCATCTGCTTGCGCAGGGTTGACCCTGAGAAAACACCCCAGAGTTCGCACCATCAGAGGAAGTGGAATGTCTTCTAAGAAAATCATTTTTTAAAAAAGTAAAGTTATATAGAAGTTTGGTAAGAAACAGCAGATATTTTGCTCTTTTCATAGAGGTGTACATGCTTATGGCCATGATGTACACACAGGCTGACTTTCATTTTCCACTTTCACAGCTAATTAAATCTGACCTTGTATTAGTTGAACTATCACGTTGGAAAGCAAAAATTGAAAGACAATTTTCTGTCTTTGCTAGGAATGTGCCGTGGCTTCTTTGGGGGATTTCTATTGGGTAATATTCTACGTAGGAGAAAAATATGGTATTAAATGTTGTGGAAAATAATGATGATAATAAATTATATGCTACAATGGTGTGCTGTCAATCAAATGCCTTGGGAGGAGAGAGAGTTTGTTCAAATCAGAAGGTTAAAAATTTCTTATGAAATAAAAATTGTGTTTATATAAAGGGAATATTTCTGAATAGGAAATTGTTTTTTGTATCAGTAGAGACCTGACATTCCAGTGTATGAGTATGTATGAGTGTATGTGTGTGTGTGAACGAATATGTGCAAACTGAAGGTTTTCTTGTTTAAAACTTGAGCGTTATAACATGTTTTGTCCTCAATGTCAGGCATTTGGATGGTTTTGGTTTGGTGTGACTTCCAATCTTCATTCCCAGCTTTGCAAATAAGATAACTCCCCTTTTACAGATGAGGAGCAGAATCAGGGAGAGGTTTGCTAACCACCTCCACAGTCACAGGGTTAGTGGTAGAGCTGAGATTTGAATCCAAGCCTGTCCCAAGAAAGCCTTAGCTGTCTTTCCATGAGGTAGGTGTCCTGCTGGTACTTCTCTTAGATCAATGAAATGTGAAACGATGTGCTTGTTGCTTAAAGAGTTTCTACGGTCCTGGTGCTGGGGGAGTGTACTAGAATCTGAACTGTAGTCTTTGTGTGAAATAGTGGAAGGTAAGAAGTAACACGTTTGGGCCAGTGTATGAGGCTCACCCAATTTAACCAGGAAATTTGGGGGCAACCCTATTTTGCTGTCCAGGATGACTATTAGTGGGTAAGCGAGGAGGGAACATAGTTTCCTAAAATCTGCCAGGGTCTGTTTCCAACAGGAATATTTTGAGGCGCAAGACCAAAAAAACCCATACATCTTGCACATAAGCAAAATTGGTATAAATCCCCGTTGGCATAAAGTGTATGAGATAATCCATATCACAATGACGTATTTCACATTTCAATATGATATATGATTAGGTTTTACTGCATTTAAGTATCTTCAGTTCTGAGAACGTTGGTAGCAAAAGGAAAGATGATCACTGGAATGACTAGCATCTGGCTTTGCCAGCCACTTCTGGGCAGACTGGGACCTTTGGTTCCCCTAGTGACTGCCCAGAATCAAATTTTTTATAATTTGTACAGTGGATGCTTTTATTTTTTAAAATTGAATTTATTGGGGTGACATTGCTTAATAAGTTATATTGGTTTCACGTGTACGTCATATGTATATTGCACTGTGTGTTCACACTCAGTTAAATTTCTTTCCATAGAACGGAGTCAAAGCCAAGATGTTGGAGTCCGGGCTTACAGATGCCACATGTCGGACTTAGTGCTGGGACTCAGCACACGGGCACATCTTTCTTACTGTGAGGCTTTATATTCAGCACTAAAGGGCTAACACAAAGAAGAATGATTAGCACCATTTCTTCCCTGAGAATATTGCCCATAGAAAAAAGTTTCCATTTAGAGACAAAGTTTAGATAGGTCCAGAGAGATCCAAGTTGTTCTAAATATAATACACATTTAATAAATAGGTATTGGATTGATGAGCTTTCAGTTTAAGAGAAGTATACTTTATGGTTTTGAAAGAGCCGAATTTAAAATATTTTTAGTTTTTTTTTTAAGGTAACCATAAGGAAGAGGAAGATTACTTAGTATTTGCAAAAAGCAATAAATAATTCAGTCTGAGATTCTGACTGATTAAGGGAAAAATGGCAGAAACTGGAAGGTGAAGAGAGGAGTTGGTGGATAGTCTCCAGAAATGGAATGGGAGTGCCCCCCATTATTGCGCAGGCCTTGGGCAGTGAGCAGAAGGCCTCGGGCAGCCCTTCTCCATCCTGAGTCCTTGTTAAACCCCATAGGAAGTTTTAAAAAAAGAATTATCGATGCCCAGTCATTTGGGGAACCACATTTTATTTCTCTTCTTGTCTCTAGCCCTTGGCATAGTGCCCGGCATATAATGAAGATTCAGTAAGTGTTTGTTGAATGAATGAGGGATTGAATGAATTAGTTTAATGCATCATTGCACTTGACAGTTTCGACGGAGTTGTCTTTGCACTGAGAAACATCTTTCCAGAATTAATTTTTGAAACAAAGGCTTGTGTTCTTAGGGAATTCTGAAAGCACATTATGTGAAATAACCAAGCAGGCAGTCAGTTTACAAAACCAGTCTGAACTGCCTTTGTTTGTCCATCCATTAATTAATGCATTCACTTATTTAATAATGTTGTCATGTCCAGTTTGGACCTGGCACTGTTAGACAATGCTCGTAAAAGATGCTGAAGACTCATTCTCTGCCCTCGAAGAACTCACAGTGTGACCAGAAAGACATGATCCAGAGTGTTTGCTGTAGGAATGCTCAGGAGAACCCCAGTGTTCTTGTTTTCTTCTAAGTTTGGGGCTACCTCCTTTCACAGTCTTCAGGTTACCCAGGACAGCACTATCACTGCTCTCCAGCCTCATGTCCAAGACTCATGTCCAGTCCTTTCCGAGTTAAGCCTGCTCTTGTCTTGAAATTGGATGCTGATGTTGTAAAATGTCAGTACCAGCTAATGCAGTAGCTGCCTAAAGGAGCAGGCTGTGCTCTCATGGGTTGCCCACAGAGGTAGTCAGGTGGCCAATCCCCATCCAAGAGGATCTTCAGTGAAGTTTCCAGGCTCTGAATGACTTCCTGAGGCCCAGGAGAAAAGGTATTTGCTGAGAGAAGGCCCGGCCCACATGAGCTCTGTTTACCTCCCTAACTTTGCAGAAGACCACCTGCCAGATGCTAAGAAGAAGAACGCTAGTCATCATTGACAGTTTCTTCACACGTATTTTGAATACAGCCTGTGAACTTGGTACTGTTATCCTCTTTTTGCAATTGTGGAAATTAAGGCTCAGAGACTTTAAGTAACTTGCCTGAGGGCACCCAGCTAGTCAGTGGAGGAGCTGGGGTTTGAATCCTGGTCTGGCCAACTCACTGCCTGGTGCAAAAGTACTTTTGTTTTCAGAAAGACAAGGAATTTTACAGCCAAAATAACTCTACAACTCACCTGGTCCAGTGGTTTCCAGATGCAGTCTGGCTAGCTCTGTCACTTATTAAACATGCAAAGAAAATGGGGAAATAAATAGATTTGATTTTGAAAAGAAAATGCTGACTGCCACTATTTTTATCCTCTCAGGGGAGCCGCAGAATTCCTATCGATGGAATGTAGTGGTAGCCTTGTTTTTACCCTAGCTGGTTAGAAGGGCAAACTGGTGAGGTGGGAGCCAAGCTAACTCATTTAGTTTTGTTCAAGAGGAGGTATTTTGAAGCTTCTGTCTGTGCTGGTGCTCCTAAAAGATCTTTAATAGCCTGAGCACATTTTGATATATGCAAAGGTTGGCCTGGACTGTAAGTTCTTGATGTATCTTGGGATAAACAGCTTTGCTGGATAAATGAGCAGAACTTTGGGGGACCTAGGCATACATACTCAGGAGCAGAAGAAGGAGACTGCAGAAATTGAGGGCCCGAGGAGAGGGAATTTTCAGAGGGTGCACACTGGTCAGGGTGCATCATTAAGAATAGGATGCACTCTACACCTTCCTATTCTTAAAGGTGCACCCTTTAAGAATAGGAAGGTGTAGAGTGCTGTAGGGAGACTTCGGTCAAGATGGCAGAGTACATAAATGTTGTGCTCATCTTCCACAACCAGAACAAAATTACAATGAAATTATAGAACAACCATCACTGAGAACCACCTGAAGACTAGTAGAAGTCCTATAAGGAAGAAGCAATGTTGAGGCTGGTAGGAGGGGTGGAAGCACAAAACGGGTAGGTTCCACATGGTGTGGCAATAAAGAATCAGGAGGGATATCTCACCTGTGGAGGTACCCCCAAAAGAGTGAGGGGATCCCAGCCCCACACCTGTATCCCTAGCCCAAAACACCACAACATCTGGTTGTGCAAAACAGTGGGGATTGCATCCCAGTGAGACAGAGCTGCTGGAGTCTCAGGTGTTTGTCTTGAGGGGCCCATGCATGGATCCCCTACCTCAGAACTCATTTGTTCTGGGCTCCGGTGCAGGGACAGCAGCTCGAGAAATGCCAAGGACATATGGGAAGAAACAAAATGACTAGATTCAGGGCAAGGGCTGAAGGGGTAGGAGTCAGGGCAACTGTCTCTGGACAGAATTGCTAGCAGGCATCATTGTTCCTTTGTTGAACTCTCCTCCTAACCAGGCTACAGGCATAGTCAGGAGCGAAATTTGTGCTATTACCCTGGTTAACATGATTTGCTCTGCCCTGGAGATTTCTGGAGACGCCACCCAACTCGTACACTGGGTTGAGCAGCTTCCAGTGGCTTTTCCACACAAGCGGCCTGCCTCAGTTTGCTCTGTAGACTTTCCTAAAATCTCTCAATCATTCGCAGACCCTAAACAAGCAGCGGCTGCCCTTGGTGTGCCCTGTACCTGGTTGCTTACCAAGCTCAGCACAAGTGGCAATTGGTCTTGACTTGCACTGTAAATCCCATCAGTTCACCCCAGGCCTGGCCTTAGCTCACATCATGATGCCCACCAACTACCCGCAGCCAGGCGCTGGTGGCAGCTGGTTTTGGTTTGCATCAAAGCCTCTCCGAAGTGCATTCAAGCCTAGTACAAGTGACAATGAAATTCAGATCAATTTGTAGCTCCCACCAGGTGGCCCTATGCCAGGCACAAATGGTGATGGACCTTGGCCTGCACTAAGAACCTCCAAAACCAGCACACAGGATGACCTGCTGCAGATCACACCAGAGCACCATCCAAGCAGCACCACAAATGACATATGCAAAGGGAAAATTCTGCTGTTACCAGAGCCCTGCTAATGTAACTCCTACTCCATGGGAACAGTCCATGAACAACAGCTCATCTACTAGGCCGGCCCTCATAGCTAGTCAGCCTGAGGGTCGATCCCACCCACTGATGTGCCGACAGCAATCAAGACAACTACAACAGGAAGACACACACAACCCACACAAGGGAAATTGCTAGAGTACCCACTCAGGTGGCCAAAGAGACTGTAGGAGATCACTCTGCTAAGACTGGGAGACATAACTGATCTACCTAACACATAGAAACAAACACAGAGAGACTGCCAAAATAAGGAGACAAACATATTCTAAATGAAAAGCACAGGATGAAACATAAAAAAACTAAATGAAATAGAGACAAGCAATCTACCAGATA